TTCACATACATTTATTAATCTGTTTTATTAAGTGGCCTGAATTTTGATGATGTTTCACTTTAAAGCTTTGCTGAAAATATTCCTGAAACTTAATGCAGATAAAGCTTCTGAATTAAATAAGTTGAGGTGGTCCTTAACTCCAAATTCTAAATTAATGTTTTAGCTTAACAGACACAAGAGTGACAGCTAAAGGAAAAAGCAGAAACATGTTGATTTCTACCACTCGCATGATAGTGTTGGCTAACTTCAGGTCAAAGTAAATGTATGTGTAAGCAAAGCAGCCTCTAATTTCATATTGGAACATGTCAAGCTAATTGACTTTTGGCTTAAATTCATCACCTGCTCTATTGTGCGTCCCTGTGTCTCCATTCTGTACCAGCTGGCCCATGGGACCTGAGCCCCGCCCAGGGTTGAAGGAGGCCGTCAGTCGACCAGGTGGGGTGTCTGGATTCAGGCTGAACGCGCTGCTGATCTGGAGACCGTTTTCCTCTGCATGGCTTTCACCTTCCTGGTAGAACAAAAGACTTGAGTTAGCTTCTCCTAATTGAAAATACGTCAGAAAAGAAGATGGTGTCACATGCTGTGCAGTGTGTTGAATCTGCAATAAATCTAAAGTATTCTAACCAGAAGCAGCCCGCATGTATGAACAAAAAGGAGCATGAAAAAATCAGCTCGTTGCAGTGTCTTAACAGAGATAACATTAGACACTGTGCCAGGACGAAAACCAGCTACACCAAAGATCACACCTGCATTCAAGAATGTCTACTACACAAGAAGAACCACATTTCCTGGAACTCGGCCTCCATGCTATGAAAACCTTCAAAGCAGCCAATCAGCTATAAGTCACAGCTTCTCTAGGTGTTTTCACACATGCACAAAACTCCTGAACATTTACAGAATTTCTCGGATCCAGCTGCAACGGTCTAAAGTCTTCACCCGGAAAAATTACCCGGAAAAATTACTATTACGACTCTTGTACGATTGGTGGGCTCGTTGAGTACAAAACAGCTTCACACTCTTTCCAGCTCACGAGTATGTTCATCTTTGCTCTTTCATCAATACTTCCAATTAAACATAGCATTGATATAAAGGCAAAAAAAAACGTCATGTGTTGTCTCCTGACTCACACAGCCCTCCTCCACCCCCCGTCTGACAGGGAACGCTTAATGCTGTGACAGACATGTGAATAAGCAACCCATTAAAAACTGAATTAACCCAATAATAGGTGCCTAGGATTTCCAGTTTATTGAGGTGGTTTCAAAACAGGTATCATTATGGCTTGACTGTTACTCATACAACTCTATAAGTATACATAAAACCAGTTCATCTGATTCTCACCAATGTGACAGCCGCCTCCCCGCTCTGAAGTGATGTCACCGATGTTATCATCAGGTTCAGGTCTCCTTGGTCATCTTCGGGATGTGGTGGAGTGTTTACTGTAAAGACTGTGGCGCTTTCTTCCTGGCTACTGGAGCCCAATGTGGTGACGCTGGCAATCCTGATCTCTGAATCCGGCTCGGTGCTGCTGAGTGCAACCGGCGAGTGTGCGGTGGAGGAGCCTCCAGGGTGTGCTGGCGAGGAGGAGGAAGTGTCCTTCTGCTCAGAGTCCTCCTCGTCGTCAATGACAATGGGCTCTGCTTCTGTGGTTGGAGGTTTAGGCGCTGCTGCTGCTGCTGCTGTGGTTATGCTGGAAGACGCAGGCGACCGGGGGGTCTTGGAAGCCGTAGACATGTCTGCAGTCGGCTCGGGACTGTCTGTGCTTGGTGTGTCGTTTGGAAGGGTTGTGGCAGAAGGCTTGGGGGCTTCCTCCCCTACTAGAACCACATCATCATCATCATCATTGTCCTCTGTGCCACCCTCCTTTGTTGCTCCATCTTCTGTTAGCATGGAAACCGCCTCCCCAGCCTCTTCTGAGGGGGGCGTGCTCTCTTGCTGGGGAGAGGGAGTTGCACCCATGGGCTCCACATGCTCCCCTGCCTCTTCTGCTACGGCAGGGCTTGGTTCTGACTCCCCGTCCATCGCTAAGGCAACCACCTGGCAGCACAAAGAAAAGAGGACAATAAGGTGAGAGCCAGCAGCAGCAGTGATTGGTTTCAGGATGCCTGACAGCTGTTCAGGTAGAGCAGGTGTCCCCAGAGAGCCACCCCCCTTCCCCCACCCCCCACCATCACCACCACCACATAGCCTCCTTCTGCCTAGTGATGACTCATTGTTAGCTACAACCTTTTCAGTGTCAGTGTCTTCATTGGCTGAAATGTGGTGGACATACAGAACAGTCAGCATTATAACAAATATTTAGGGTTTTAATCTTGTAAGTATATAATATTAAAGGTTATATTTAGTGGAGATAACGACTGATCCTTTAAAACACCCATCTTGTTTTCAACCAAGCTTGCCCTACATATGAGCCTTTCATTTTTAACTACAACAACACAGAAGCAAAGGGAAAGCTTTTAATGGTTGAGACCTATTACAGAATCAGCTATTCCATCAAGACCCTTTTTGTGTGAACATTTTCCAAATTGATTGCAATATTGCTTTCAAGAAGCAGTATATTGAAAAGCGAGGAGGATGGTGGGGGAGGGGGGGGGGGTGCTGTGCTCCATAGTCAACCCTTTCTGGTGTCATTTCAACTAGAAAATGTGACCTGAAAGTTGACAGCCGCAGCTAAATAGATGCAACAGTAGAGAGTAGACGATGTTTCCATGGCGTATGAACGTTGAATCTAAAGAGCTGCTACCAGCCTGCACAGCAACGGAGGGAGTAACTTTGCTCCTCCCCCTCCTTCTTCTTCTTCTAGGCCCTGTCACGTCTCTTCCACTCATCCTCCTCTTCCCGTTCTCTGCATCTCCTCACTCGACCACCCAGCATCGCACTCCTCCTCTTACCTGCCGCCTCTCAAGTCCCCCTACCTCTGTGTGCCACTCTGCACAGCTTCTCTCTTGTTGCCCCCAGCAACTGGTGAAGCTACACCTTGGTTGCCATGGTTATGGTAAGGCCCAACACCACCACCACAGGGACTTGTTGTCTGTGCTCTACATCTGGGTGCTGATGAGTTTTCCGGCTCAATATTAACAGGGTTTAATTAACAAGATGCATGATGCTGAATTAGTAAAAAGCCAACTCAAAAATGTGTTTAATACTTTAGCATCTCTATGAATCCATAGAAGAAGAAAATACAAATCACATGGGTTGTCGGCTGATTTGGTGGCACACTCGGCATCAAATATTATCCAGAGCACTTTTGGGGATCTCTGCACTCACTAGTGTTGATCTGTTTCTGTCAAAATCTCTTTTTCATGTCACACAGCAGTGAGGGGAGCCGTGAGCCTCACATCACTGCTGACAGCTGCAGCACGCACGCACGCACGCACGCACGCACGCACGCACGCACGCACGCAGACAATGATCTTTGTAGCTTCATGTTCTTCACCCCAACAGGCACCATAAACAGGAAGAGCCTGAGAACACATGACTGCAGCCTTTAGAGCTCTAACAGAGATCAGTCTACACTACAGGAGGAAGCCAGGTCGTATCCTTGACATCATCACGGCGGCCATCTTGAACTCTGCTATGTAAGGTAAATCGAATAAAAACGCTTCACGACACCATTCCTTACCTCGCGTTCCTCAATAACTTTTAAAAAGGGGTCAAAAGTGGGGCACTGATGACCTAGCGGTGAGGTCGCTCCCCATGTCAGAGGGGAGAGTCCTTCAAGTTGGCAGCACGGATTTGAGTCCAGTCTGTGGCTCCTTTCACGCGTCATTCCCCTCGCCATCTCTCTTTCTCTACTCTATCCTGTCCTGTCCAAGATGAAGGACTAAAAGCCCCCAAAAATAAATCTTATTGTAAGAATAGCTGGTATTTTTAATCCGGTAAAACCGATGAGTAAGCAGTTATGCACAGAGACAAGCCTAGCTGGTGGAAGCTCGGCTCACAGCCCCAAAGTTATGTTAGGCAGAGAAACACCAATTATTTCTGTAAAACCACTCTATAGGTTTACCAGTTTCAATTACAGGTAATTTAATTAACCTTCATGTACTACCACTGAAGGAGGCTGAACCTATTGATCAAGCTGATGTTTAAACAGCAGCTCAGCTCGCAGCCCCCTTTTCACATATTGTCCACCGAAGAGCGCAGGACGGAAACTCCTTTTGAAATGACACTACAGAAGGTTTCTTTTGTCATCTAGTTTTGTGTCTATTTTTGTTGTCGCTACAGAGGTGTGATGTCTACCAGGAAAACTAAGGTGGGGGGGGGGGGGGGGCGCTCATTGCATTTAAAGAGACACACACACCAAAACGGAGCACTCTGAGAGAGCTGGTTTATACAGGGTCACTAACCTCCTCTGGTGCTTGATTCATGTTATAGTTTGACCAAAGCACAGCACAGATGTTTCATTTAGACCACAGGGGACTGTTTGAAAAGGTGGATAATATGTCCTCTTTAACCACACAACCGTTTTTTCACAGAGGACTTTACATCAACGACGAGCTAAGTGTCAGATATAAGGTGCAACTTGTGCCTATTTGGTGTCAGCATGCATACTGTACTTATGTCTTTTAAATCTTAGTAAAGAAAACATCTCAAATGTCAGTTTAGCTTGGGTGAAGGTTCATTAAAGCCTGTGTCTTCCAATAAAAACAATGCATCATGATTACACCATACATAAGGCAATAGCAAGTATGATGACTTCTTCTCTGTAACACACTGAATCTGAGAAGGGAAGAGCTGCTCACAGAGACCATGTGACAGGAAGTACTAGTCAAAACAGCATGACATTCAAGATCAATAAGTTGTTCTCTACTGTAAAAAAAAAAAAAAAAAAAAAACAGAACAGGATTGCTAACAGTTCTCTAGAGCTTGTGTTACCCAGGCTGGTGTTTTAGAGTAGATATCCTCCTAACTCTAACGTCTTATGAGAGCAGGGTTATAACACATCTGCCCGATGTCTGTGGGGTTAACTGGTGTCAAAAATACTAAAAGAGGACCCACAGGCCCGCTTCTTCATATGCAACACCTCCCCAAAGCAAAACTGAGCTGCACATTACAGCCTTTATGTCCTGATATTACTCCAACAGAGAGAATCTATGTGCAAGGAAACTCAGCGGTGCTATGGGGGGGGGAGGAATAGCCTGGTCCAGACTCACTTCAGACTGCAATGCAGAGCTATGAGCATGCCTGCATTCACGTGGAGGAAGGAGGGAAACGAGGCTCCGGCTTTAATGAGCTCTGACATGCAACCTTGTCTCCCAACGTGAACACCAGGTGGACAGAGAGGTGGGCTGGGGGAGGGGAGGGAGGGGAGGGGAGGGGGGGTGGAGTTGAGACTGCCTCCATGCAATAAAACACTTAAAATCAACGGCTGCGCCACACCACCACCTCCATAGGTGCTCCTCTACCTGTCTGTTTGCGCATGAAGCCGTTTGCGCCAGTTGCGCAGATAACACCAGACAACTCACAAATTCAAATCAAACGCCTGAGATTATTATATAAGGCTTATGTCACTGAGAAGTGATGCGTAATGCGCAGCCACCACAGCTCCCCCCCCCCACCCCCCCCACCCCCCACAAGCCAGCTGATGGCCCAAAATGCAGTCCATTCCGGTTACCTGGCAGCAAAATGCAAAACTACACCCGGGACTATTCTGAGCCCCACACAGCTGATGAGCTCTCCTCTGAAATGTTAGGAAATCGGCACACAAGGACAGCCTGTAACACGCTTTCAGGGGTCGCTGAAGTCCCCCCCCACCCCCCTGGTCGTGCCCTTGATTATCAACACCGGATAGAGGATCAGATCCATAGCGAGCACCAAATCCGGTCAAGGCATCCGGCTACAACGGGGATATAACTCGACCTGATCCTAGCTTCCTTGTCTGCGCACATCTATTCCCCCCCCTCCTCTCCAAGCAGAAATATAAAAGCAAACTTGGCTCTAGATGACAGATCCAAAAGTTCAATTAAGCCCAATAAACGGAAAAAGCACTACCTGAGCAGCGCAACTCTTCCATAAATAACCCAGGTGAAAATGGGGGTGGGGAGAGAGAGGGGGGGGGGGTAGGTAGGTTGGCTACCAAGTTGGGATCCAGGAGAAACGTGGTTCAGGGTGTTCCGTTCCCACCCCTGCCCTTCCTGGCGCAAACAGCCATTGGATTAGCGGGCGGATCGAGGGGAGGAGAGCAGACACACACAGACTGCGCCATTGTGAAACACCAACCACCCCGAAATGATCACAACTCTCATGCACATCAAATGATTCAAGTACAGGAGGAGATGTTGCACCGTGTGACACTCAAAAAAACACACATCCTACCCGCACATCTGCCACCCCCCCTCCCCTCCCTCCCTATGCAGTTTATAATTTCCAGTCGGACAAGTGCCAGTGCCACCAAAAACAGACCAAGGTTCCGCACAAAAAAGCCCGATTTTTATGATACCTGTGACGCCGTGGTTTTAATTGGAAAGTTACCCTGCACGGAGTCCACCCTTGCTGGCGCAATCAGTGGCATGTGCACCCGGCTGCCGCTAGGGGCGCCCTCTCTCTCTCTAGGTATCACATGAACTACCTTCATTTGTGTCATGCGGTGGTAAACAACCAGGCGCAAAGACAAATTACCGCATCGCGTTTACAAGAGTCTCCTTGGAGTTGCCGTGACCCCTAGGCCAGGTAGTAACTCAACATTTCACAGGGAGATATAGTTGCCCCCCCCCCCCACACACACTCCCCCCTCCTCCCCCGGTGGAAAACAGCCTGCCGTCCGCCATTAGGGAGCAAACTGAACAATACTGGAGACTAGAGGCGGCAGCAGCCACAGCACACACACAGCAAAGGGAGCAAATCTGTTCAATTTAACTGTTTATTGTTCCCTTTAATGTGTGTCCTCGCCCCCGAGTGAGTGCTCAGAGAGTCCCTGGACTTCCGGCTGATGTCCCGCACAAGTTTCCTAAAACTTTGACCAATTAGGCGTCAATGTGGAACATGTAAAACGGCGGAGAAATATGCTTACCGGAGTAGAGCTCGAAACGGTGTAGCGCCACTTTTGTGCCTTGACATTAATCCCAGGGTGCGCGTGCGCACAACGTAGAACTTTCCACTTTCCGTCCAAAGATCGTCTATTGTGGTGACGACTCACTACGCGCGATTGGCGTCTCGCGTGACGTAGCAAACACGCAACGTTGTGGGTGGTGGGGGGGTGTCCAATGGATACCTTTACCTTTCGGGGGGGATTACGTCTGGGTGAATACAAAGAAACGCATTTAGTTAAAACGTTGCTTGGCCAATACGAGAATCACCACTTGATTGCAAAGGCAATTATTGATTTCAGGTCTGATTTAAGCATTTAAGTGATGTCAAGTAGAAGCAGGGGTGCTGCCAGGAACTCTGTGCTCCATGAATACATATCTCTCATTTAGCAACACTAAAGCTGTCTGAAGGCTGCTGTTTTGCAAAAGAAAAAAAGGGGAAATACAATTGTTGTTATGATCACAAAAGTTTAGAATTATATATGTAAAAAAAAAAAAAAAAACATTTTTTGGGGCCCTGATCAGTCAAGGGCCCTTAGAAACGTCCTAACTGTTCTCCCCCTTTACGGCGTCCCTGAGTAAGAAGTATTTAGTTTCTGTCTACCTGTGGGGGCAATAATATACATAGATGCTTCTTAATTCACAATAAGTTCAAGATAAATATCTGGCTAACTGTGATCTCAAATGCCCAACTACACTGCAGCTGCATTTTTAACAATCAGAATAATCAGAAAGCAAAGACATTCATTCTGCAATGGAGCAAGGGGTCGATAAATGATGGTTGAAACCTTTCTTTGTTACCTCAAAACTGTTTCCAGCTTTTGCAACAAGAATGGTTTCCATCGTATGAACACAAATACCCTTATATACACGGTGGTGTGGTTATGCCTAAATCTGATTTTTTTTTGCTAAGTACATTTAAACATACCAGGAATTTGACTTGGTGACAAAAGAAGTGGATATACTCAAAATGTTTGTTTTTTTTAAATGGCCCATCCAGTAGAGGATAAATGGCCTCTGTTATAAATAGTGACATATAAAACTACACCTTAAATGTGGCTGTCATCTACAAAATTACACATTAAGTATTTAATTTCACTTGATTATATGTTACAATTAGGTCTAAAATGTAATGCTCTAAATTGTTTAAAAGGTTTATTAGTTTGTTTCTGAAGGCAACTAGCAACCCCACTCTTGGTGGCTTGGTTCCCACGTTCCCCACTTTAGAAACCACTGGCCTAGAGCACAGCTATTCCTCATTAAAAACATACAAACAAGTATATAAATAGTACATTTAAAAGCTAAATCAAGCACTGCACTCAGCACAAACATCACATTTAGAGGAGATCATTAAAAATATAGTTTACATGAATCAATACATTTAATATATTAAACTTTAAAATAAATTCTGTAAAACATTGTCAAACACAGGACATGTAGTTAAAGCATAAGGTTAAGATAAACAAAAACTACAAACACCTATGTGGATAGTGTATTGCATGTAATGTGCACTGTAATAAACTTAATAAAAAAAAGGTCCGAAAATCTCTGCACTGTTCCTTTAAGCAGGAAGCCCCTCCTACTACGTGTGTATGCTCACGTTTAAAGTAACTGGAATTAGAGGCAGAGTGAGACCTCTTTCGTTTATGTTCCTCTTCGACAACATCCATTCGTATTTCTCTTTTTTTCCCTCCGTCGCGCATGCGCAGGAAGAGCAATCAGTGGTGGCATGGTTGGCAATTAAATTGCTCCATTAAGCTGCTTTACCTTACCCGATGCATATCACACCTCCAGTGTAAACTGACTCCCAATGAGCCGCAAAACATGATATACTTTGATCTGGTTCTGTTGGAGAGACTACAACAAGCTGTTTTGAAGTACACAGCTCAGGTCCAATCAGGGGCAGGGATCCGGGTTGAGAGAGTTCATGCACTCAGCATGATCTGTCCGTGCAACAACGAGTTTCCTCACGTAATTGCATCCAAGTAAACATGAGGGGGAACCAAACGGACGCAGAAATAAAAGTTAATCCAACATTACTGCAATAAGAAAACAGAAGAAGTAAGAAACAGGATATAAATGGTGTCAAAGGAACCAAACTGAAATGCATGTGCAGTAAAATCAATCCACACTCACTTCTAAGTACACCAAGATAAAGATCAATCATATATACCAACATCAAAGATTAGGTGGCGATAATATCCCCTTCATGAGCGCAAATTAAAGTCGAATGAAGTCATGATCACGTTTTTAATATGGCGGATCAGGTGCGTTCAAGTGACTTAAAAACCAACTGTGAAAGGTGCAGAAGGAACTCACGTCATGCAGATAATGAAACACATCTCCGCATCACCTCAAACACCCCTTAAATGATCAGATTAAGTGGATAAAAAGCAGAAGCAGAGAATGTGGAATAGTTTGCATTCGCTAAATCAGCCCGAGAAAGTAAGCTATAAAGCAGCCGGGTTGCCAGGTTTGATGTCGATGGTTTTTTTTTTTTTTTTGGTAATCAGAATTTATTGCATTTCTCTGTTTCATCTCGTTCAAATTCCACTGAAATAGATTAAAACGTGATCAGGATTAAAGCAGAAAGGGATTAAGACGGATTCCTAATCACCAAACTGGTAGCCTTTATGTAATTAGAATGTCTATGAGGCGTTTGGGGACCTCCGTTAATTTTCATGTTGCCTTCCAATGCAATGACGTCCTCGACTCTTTTGGCTCTTTACACGTAACATGCGCACCTTTCAACGGATATGTCAGCATTTATCTTAAACCTAGCGCAACTGGTGGCAAATGTGACACATGCGATGCGATTGTGTTTAAATTAGGCTATACACCTTTGCAGTAGGGGGAAAGCAACCTAATAGGATACATCGACTACTCGTTAAAATCTCGGGTTAAAAGTTGATCCACTGTGGGTCAAAATACTAAATCTATCCCAGAAGCCAACAAACGCACCCCACATGACTGTTGTTTGACTCAGTAGCCAAAAGTACTGAGTCCAAAACCATAAAATTGAGCTATAAAGTTGAGTGTCCAAAAGGGGGATTTGGCGACATAGACTATGTGTTGCTCATAGACTGTAAATAAATCAAGTCAAATAAGCATCGGCTTTATAAGTTTACTTACTTTTGGATGAGCTAACTTGGATCCAGCATGTGAACCACTCGATCCAACATTAACCATAATTAAATATTATAGCCTTTCCCCCCCTTGTGAGCCGTCTTTCCTTGTGAATTTAATAAACCCCACAACTCTAATTTAAAATATTAAACCCGCTGCTAGACGACTCTATGGTTGTTTTTCTAACCCTTTAACCCTTTGAATGAGCTGTTGTTGATTTGCTCATGTTGAAATGTCCATTTTCCCTGCAGCTCTCTCTGGTTTGTGTTTTGAATGTCATAATAAGTCTGTACAAAAAAACTGAGGAAACAGAAGTTATTAAGTCCTTGAATGTCACAAATTCTGAGTCTTGACTGGTGTGCAGCTCGGTATTATCGTTTGTTTCCCCCCCATGTGCACCTTTCTCACCTTGTTTCTTAAAGCTGCAGTACCTTTCCTCCAGGAGTTCCTTGATTTATTTACCTGACCCCCTCAGGCTTTACAGAGCCTTTAAAAGATGAGCGTCCACTCAGCACCTCAGCACCATTGACTGTAAATATTACTGCTCAGCAGCCCGGGGTTTCATGTTGTCTTTAAGTCTGATGGTTTAAAAAAAAGAATATTGATACTCCTCCCACTTTGTTTCTTTCCCATGCATCCAGGAACAATTGTCACTCTCGCTCTTTCTCTCCCACTCTGTAGTAGTAGAAGTAGAAGTTCAAACTACTGTAGTAATAGCAAATGGTGGGTTGCCAGGTTGTGTTTTAAGCATTGTTGTTCAACTCTTCACCAGGGAAATGTCTTGTATCGGTCCTCTGAGAGCTTCTGCTGTCACTGTGTTGACCTTTCTGATGAAATATTCACATCCTTAACATCCAAATTCATTCACTGAAGTAAACAAGTAAGAATCCACACGAGTCATCCTGCAGAATAATTATGCAAAAGTTTTTAAATTATACTAACACTGAATTTAATCCAACATAAGAGGTTCATTTGAATTTAGACACTGATTTATTTTTGAGAGTATTGATAGGTAAAAGGGGCAAAATGATTTTAAAAATGCTTCATCTCAGTACTTAACAGAGGACAGCTTGACATTTGGGTTGAACAAGGAGGATTTTTATTTGGATAGAGGTTGGAGGTAAATGGAGTTTACATGATTGTATGGATGCATATTCTACAAAACGGCCCTCTTCATGTATGAAGGAGGAGGAGGACTTTACAAATGTTCTTTTTCCTTTTCCTTTGCACCATTTGTATCTGTCAACATTGTCTTTGGATTCTGTCGGGCACTGCTGTTATTCATAAATACTTTTTTAAATACCAACCTAAACATTTCCACTGAATCTTGGGGCTCAGTCTGTAGGGATTGGTCTGGGAGGCTGGAGATTTTCGCTGGTTCAAGCCCCGGTGTGGACCAAACATGGAAGTTGGTCTGGAAGCTGGAGAGGTGCCAGGGCACTTCCTGAGTACTGCAGAGGTGCTCTTGAGCAAGGCACAGCTCTGGTGCGCTGCCTGTGTTGCAGTTTGTGGCAGCCCCACTCTGACATCTCTCCACTAATTCATGTCCAGAGAACTAAGAGTGGAAATAAATATGTAGACAGTTTTATCGTAGAGACACACAGTGACATTTTTGAGCCTCTAAACAAACAGCATGGGGCTCACACTTCCTCACCATAGACTGTAAGTTCCTCACACTTACTTCACAGTGTTTACCTGCAGGAACATTCAAGGTTTAATTATATTCAGAGTGCTTTGAACTAGAGAGTCTTCAGGCAAACCAGGAGACCTGTGGCATCTTCAACAAGTGATCGGGACTGAAAGTGTTTTGAAAAAACTATCAGCAGACAAAGAGAGAAAACAGACTAATGTATTGGCATGAACGCCCTGTTTTTTCTGGACTATATTTCTGTTTATATACAGTAAGATTCATCTCAACTAAAAGTCTAATTTCTGCTGACCAGTTTTGAATGCATGTTAAAAGATGACGTAGTTCTTAGTTGATGCGTTCTTCCTGCCAGGGAACCACTGATATCCGTTCATTTCCAGGTCATTTAAAAATCAATCGGGTAAAATCGTTGTGGGTTGGTGATTCACTGTTGTTCCAGCTTCATTATCAATGCACCGGAAAGTAGTGTGAAGTCCATATTGATTTTAAAAAAGACCCTCAGAATGATAACTAAAGTCAACGGCCAATGAGGAACCCTGTAACCAGGTGAGTCATGCAAACAAAAATTTGGGTTAGGGGGCGGAGGTTAAGTTAGAGTGGGGTCAAAGGGGGAGAATTATCAAACGTTCTACATTTTGAAACATTTATTATCAAAGCAAAATGGGTTCCATCTTTAAGGGATAGTTTGGAAATATGATATATGGCACACGTATGAAGAATGTGTCTGACTTTAAATATTATTAATCATGACTACATATTATACCAGAGTGAATGGACATGACGAGCCTGACTGAACATTTTTCCCAGAGTTCACTGATACATCCTGTTCAGCACAAAGAGGGGATTTTTAAAATTTATATAATTGTTTTTTAGGTGAACCATCGCAATTTTGTCTTATCATTTTCAGCCACACTGATTGGGTCTGATCACAATCCCAGTCATCACTTATCTAAAACACTAATGGTACGCTAGTATTCAAAAATCTGAATCGAAACTCTTTTCCTCTCTCTGACATGTTTGGTAAAAGACTGAAATTAAAACCATCTGAAGCCGTTTAATGGCCAAGGAGTTTCACAGGTGTTGGGTTACATATCTGGAGAGTCTTTATGCCTGATCACACTAAACTGAGCTTTACTTCTATGAACACCAGGTAAGACATATTGGAACAACATAGTGAAACAACATAGTGAGATCGAAGTACTTAGAAATATAACTCAAGAAAAAAATAAATATCAGATAAATGTTTGCACAAGACTGAACACACCAGGAACCTTCAAGTTTGTATCTGCTTATCAAAACCACATGACCGATTTCATTTTCATGCAAACATACAGCACATGCCTCCAAATGTTCTCGGGCTGCTCCAGCTGTTGTAGCTCTTGAAATCTATTGATTGAAAGTCAAAAAAAAAAACGTAGGTCACATTTGCATGTGCCTTTTAGCTGTTGCTTATAAAGTCATTTAAACAGTCAAAAATAGTACAACTGGGTATACTTCTTTACTTTCACATTTTAGTCAGAACTGAAAGACAAACTTAAAACTTGTGGGTGTCGAGGCAGCACGAAGAGTCAAGTTTCCTCGATCCAACCAAAGGACATATCGCTGCCCCAAGCCGAGTTCTCGGGCGAAGACGCAGGCATGTTCACACAAACATTTTTCATTAGACGCTCAGGTCTTACTGTAGAAGAACTGCCTTTATTATTTTTCTGCAGGTATACCATTCAAACTCAGATGGACAAGATGTCAGCGCAGCATTCAGCATCTGTTAAAAAAAGAGAAAGCCTGAGCTCTCCAGCAATCAGTCTAGATCCTTGACCCTGACCCTCACTAGCAGGAGGGTAGATAACTAAGACGACAAACTGAAGCCCTTGAAAGTGAAGGAAACAGATTTTTATTGTACACACTAAATAACTTAACTCAATCCTGTATTTGCAACAAAAAGAAAAGAAAAAAAAAAGAGCAACAAAACATAACCAGTCATCAGATGACACTTTATAACTGTATCTTTGTCTGCATATATCTATATATAGTATGTGAATATTTACAGACCCAAAAATATAAAATCACTTTTTCTTCATTCATAAAAACATTGTCTATGCAATCACAACCTCCTATTGTATGAACATCCATATTAGAGAGTACACTCCTGTTTACACTCCTGGTGTGAGATCGTCAGGTCACACGTGGACAGCACTAAATACCCGCCACATATTGTGATGGATCTCTTATTTTTGGGACGCATCTGCCCGCCTTCCTAATGTAGTGTTATGGAATCATGTTCAGAAGCTTCTCCAACAAGAACATGACCCCATGATGGCCAGTGAGGTTTTTTGTCGACCGCTTGGCAAAGATTGAAAACAAAACAGTGTCTATCCTGGTGATTTGGTTAACATTAACTTCTCTACCGGCTTCTGATTGGGTGATGTAGAAATGTAGTTTCTCACTTGTTGTCATTGGAGAATCAACAGATTTACCTTAACAGCATATCACAGCTTCTAAGGTTGTCAACATTTTTGACACCACGGGTTATGAAATGATATATTTTCTGTTCCTGTAATTATCGACAGTGTTGAAAAAGTACCAAAGCTTTAAAAAAATACACAAATCTTCAGTCATATCTGAACTCAAATCTGTTTCAAGAGAAAGAGACAGTGTGCAGGAGTTTGGCTTGTAATTTTGTAAATAACAACAAGGAGTTACCCAATACTGGATGCCTCAGACTTCTATTTAAGTTCAGTGCTAGCTAAACAGGTATGTTTAGGACAGTCTATTATAAAATCGGGTGTTACCAAACACAGCACGAGTGGGAAAGCGATACATTGGTCCAAGAAAAATGCTTAAAAATTGGAAAAAAAAAGGAGAGATGGAAAACCGTTCTGCATCTTCTTCAAAAGCACCCCTAAAAATCTACACATTGATGTACAAGCTAGGTTTGCAAACACACAAACACACAGACACACGTCTATCATGTCCACACTGACAGAAGGTGGAGCTAGGAGAAAAGGCACGACCCAGGAGGGTTTCTGAAAGGAGAGGAGGGAGTTTCTGACCGCCACATTGTAACAGGAAGCTGTGTAGTAGTGTTGGTGTCAATATAAAAATGGACGGGCTGCTTGAGGGTTTACTTCGAGGTTTAATCAACCACACAAGACTGCAAGGCATTTGTTGATCACGGAGGAGCTGCAGTCTGGATGTCATCGATGAGCTTCAGTCTTCTCCGAGGTCTGGCTTTTAAATCTCAATGTTGTTTGGGAAGCCAACAAAACGTTTCCTCTCTTTGAAGACAACAAGCCTTGCAGTGTGTTTCAGCTAATGCTTAGTATGTGTATGTGTGTGTGTGTGTGTGTGTGGTGTGTTGTCATTAAGGCCAGGCTCGGTGTGACTTGTTGACATAATCAGAGGAGGCATCATTGCAGCTGAACTCTGTATGCACAGATGAGGAGTTTGACCTGAAGAAAGAACATTTTACACTGTTAAAATACACTTTTGTTAACGGTCACACATCATCCTCCAATTCAACCAGTTTAAATAAGTCTCAGAGCTCCCGGAAACATGTCTGTGAAGTTTCTTGTTCTAAATCCACTCTGATCCTGTATTTGATCATGCCTACAAACCCCTCTATTCCAGCCCTGCTCAGAACAGGCTGTTTTTGTGTCTGTACCTTTAAATGTAAATGAGCTGTGTCTGACCACGCCCCCTCTCTGGAAGGACTTTAGTGTCTTGGGCTTTCTCGCTCCATGCCCTATTGTTTACGGTGAGAAGGCAGACTCAGAGGGCAGAACAAACACCTAGCTGTGGGAGTGTCACCCATCTGGGGGAGGGGTTACTGCCCTTTGTGATGTCACAAAGGTTAAATCTCCAAAATTTGAGCACAAATTTTCTGAAAAGTGAAGCAGGCAAAAGTTGTAGAGGATGGACTTTTCTCATCATTGGTGGTTTGTAGACGGACTATATTAGTGTAAGTAAAACATGGTGAAGTATATATTGCATAATAAGTGACCTTTAAAATAATGGCTATATTAGCTGCTGAGAAATGTTACGTATTTGATGAGTACATTCTTTTGTTTGAAATATGCTGATTAAAAAATGAAGGCTCTAAAATAAACGGCCGCTTATTTTCTGTTTTCTTCCATGAAAAGAGCAAATATTTTCTGTGTATCTGAAGTGTTAAAGACGTGTTTCCTCCGTGTGATAGAGCTCCATTATTTTTCAAATTCTATTAAAAAGAATGGCCACACTGTTGCATTCAAGGCATTTTCCTTTACTACCATGAAAACACACACACACACACACACACACACACACACACACACACACACACACACACACACACACACACACACACACACACACACACACACACACACACACACACACACACACACACACACACACACACACACACACACACACACACACAAGTTGGTTTGGACTAGATTCTACAAACATTGACTCACTTGTTTCGTCTGAACGTGTATTAATCTACTCTGAAAATAGTCCCAGACAAATGCCCTTCACTGCTGCTGCAGACGGCCACAAATTCAATTTGATATTTGTTTATAAAAAGGAACGGGTAACAGAGAGAGAGTGAGGACTTTTTGGAAACAATAGGAGACATGTTTGCACATTGTTGGTTTCGTCTTTTCATGTCTTTTGGAAAATAGAAAGCTTTGGAATAATGCCATCCCATTCATACACATTCACACGCCGCTGACGAAGCAGCGGGAGCAACTTGGGGGTTAAGTGTCTTTCCCAAGGACACATGTAGCTGCAGGAGCTGGGGATTGAACCCCCGACCTTCCTGTTGAGAGACGACCGACTCTACCAACTGAGCCACAGCCGTCCATCATCTACTGTGACTGTCAGAAGCAAATACAAATCCTGACACTAACACACAAATTGTGCTGCTAAACATGTGAACTGAAGGATCATTTTAACCTCCTTTTAAACTTCAAACACAGCTTTTAGTCCTACTTTATAAAATGGTGAGCACGTGTGTGTGTGTGTGTGTGTGTGTGTACCTTGGCTGTTGGTGCCTCTGCTAGACGAATGAAGAGTCTGTTGATGCCTGGCACCGGACTGAAGGAGTAGATAAAGTGACTATCCTGTATGTTTGAAGACAAAAATAAAGACATATATCATCACTTATAATATATAACAGAATGAAATACATCAAATAACCAGTTAGACACAGGTTTATGTGTACTGCTTGTGCAGGTAAAATTTGCAGCCTGTGAAGAAATGTCAAGCTCCTCCTTAAAGCTAATGATCACTCAGCGTACATGTGTTAAATATCTACTGCAATCATTGTCACTGTTAGAAGAATTCAAATGGGGTACGGCATAATAGATTGTTTGAACATATTTATGTATTAATATCCATTATTCTTGATCTCATTTTTTTTTGTTCTGTTAAACCCATTTAGCCTTCAGCTATATGATATGTAGCAGTGCTGTGTGCGTTGTTTTTCATAAGATCTAACCAGGAAGATGGGCAGCTGGAACTTGTCGTTGAGCACCACGGCGTGAACGCTGCAGGGTCCGCAGAGCCGGGCTGTTATTTCATTCAAGAAGTTAGCGTGGAAGATGAAGAGGAGGATCCCCGAGCCTGTAGTAGAAGAGAGGGACAGAGGTCATGTGCATCAAAAGGAAAGAAGAATGCCTCGGACTTCTATTTTTGTTGCAGCGGTATCAAAACAGTTAGCTCTACCTCTTAGTACACAGTCTATGATAAAATAAGGTTCAACCAAACACAGCATGAGAGAAAAAGCAATACATATAAATAAACCACAAAAAAATCTACACATCTATAAGCTAGGTTTGCAAACACACACACACACACACACACACGCTTCTATCATGTCCACACTGACAGAAGGTGGAGTGAGGAGAAAAGGCGCGACCAAGGAGGCTTTCTGAAAGGAGAGGAGGGAGTTTCCGACCGCCACATTCTACCAGGAAGCTGAGTAGCGTTGGTGGCAACATAAAAATGGACGGGATGCCGCAAACATTTTCATTATAGTCTTGTATAGCAGATCGCGTTGCTTCGTTCTCCACTTCTGCGTGGTCTTTTATACGTCATGCCTTGCCTAACGAGCCCCCCCCCCCAACCCTGAAACCCCTCCTGTCTGACAGGGATAGTCTCCCACTGTGAGGTGCATGTGTGAACAAGCGAGCCAGGAGGATTTCAGGGGCAGTCTGCCTAATATTTTCTAAACATTGTCTGGAGTGAAGATGTGGAAGCAGCTTATGAGGTTTCTTGGAATGTTTTTATAATCAACACACCCTCCATCGATTCATCCCCTCCCGGATAAAAAACTTGGATGGACCACTAACAAAGTGATCTCTGTGATTATGTTCTGTATCTAAAAATACAACCAGCTGATGGCTTGCAGTGTGAAAGTTCTTACCTTCTGGTTGTGGCTGTGTTTTGAAGCCGAACTCCATGGTGAAGTCGGGTCCCTCACAAAGCCTGTGGCAGGCAAGAGGAAAAACCGGCTCCAGCAGCACCAGACGAGACTCAAAGTACGCTCGGATCGTGTCCTCGGCCACACTGGACAGCCTGAGAGACAGAAAGATGGGCAGAGAAGAAGAACAGTGTTGAGATTTAAATCAGATTTAAATGTTTCTATCATTCTTTTTTTAATAATTGTTAATCTGAAAAAGTGCTTTAAGCAACAACATGTAACTTCTCCACCTTAAAATAACTGTTTCAAAGTCGATAATAGTCTCTCTCCCATGTCACAGATCGCCCCAGTTACTGGCTTATAACACTATGTAAGTTTTGCAGCGACCGTGGGTCTCTCGCGAGAAGTGTGTACGGCTTTAAGGCACTAACCGGTTAGCCCGCCTCTGTACTGTTTGATGAATAGCTGAGGCTAAGAGAGGTAAGAAGACAATGATGGATGATGCAAAGAAGAGAAAGAGAGAAAGTTGCCGAGTGTACATCCCTGCAGATACTTTACATAACAGATTGTATGTAAGCTGTATTGTTCTCGGTGTCATTGTTGTTTCATGTTTAGCAGCTTTACCAGGTGCAGGAAGTCATCTAACTCAAGTTATGTCTCATGTATTTGTTTTCTTCCTAT